ATTGCCGTAAAACGCAGACCATCCAACATAAGCCATCGGACCCGACGCGCTGAGGAAGCTTACTTATATAATATAAACCTGAAAAGTATGACAAAAACTTGCCGACAGATACGATACTAATGCGCTAATAGCAACTGATCATACAGGTGATTGTCGGATGATCTACACAATTGTCATTGATTTTCGTTTGCTCTTTCGTCGTCTTCATGCAATATTGAACGTTTTTTTGGCTACAAAAGAATTATGCTTATATAACATGCGCGAGTGTATCTGACCACGATTGCTACAAGTTAAGTAAAATCAGCATCGAAATGACGCCTAAGCGAACTGTCTTGAGTGCGAAATATTCCCGAGGGACCATTAGCATATATCGATAGTCTCTATGTATACGCGGCAAAGATGTCAAATTAACTACAAAGGAGAAAAATTCTAGACGGCCTCATCTTCCGCACTTCGTTGCTGTATATGTAGGCGTGGGAAGAGAGCGTCGTTTCATTCTTATATTTATGAAATGGTAAATGCTTTGATAAGCACTTGCATGTGCATTTGATCTGAGCAAGTCTTGCCTACACATTGCGGTTGATCTGATATTTATGCTTCAAAGCTGCCACTAATGAATAATAGAAAGACATGCTTATGTAGTCGATATAAAAATTGTAAATTGTAGATTGTGGCGTGTAATCCAATTTCGACCATCCTTCGATCATTGGTAGGCTATGTCGGCCCGATCTTACCCACCTCCATAGTATTTTTACTTAAACACGCATAGTTCCTTTCCTTATACATTAGTACACACACCTTTCTTATTTCCTTTCTTAGAAGCGGCCTGTTTGAAGATATGCATAAAAGACACAAGACGATTTTTCGACGCAGATCTATGGCAAATGTAATATCTGCATATAAAAGAGACGAGAAGACGGGTCATTCTTCCCATTTATGCTCTTAGTCTCCTGCATTCTACTGTTACTTCATTAAATGACGCGGAAGGAAATGTTGTCGTTGTCGGATAAATGTTATGCAATAAGTTATTTTGTATTTCTAGTAGTTGCTAATAGTGATTCCTGAGCCTTCCAAATGTTTTGCAATCACAATATATCATTACTTGGACACCGTTATCGGCTAAAGAGATATTTCTGCCAGGATTGAGTTCAAGAGCGATTTAAACTTCTGTGGATTGTGAGACTAAGTGTAGCTATGCTCAATAGAAACTGCATCTAGCGTCGCTGCAGCTTCTGCTGTACCATACCCGCGATCGTGCTTCGACTCAGCGTCGTCGTACTTATGGTATTTATTTTTCACACGCTCACCTTGTTGACGGATACAATCACACACGGCTACGATGGAGTCATCCTGACGCTAATTTGAACAATGAGTTTGGGCTGAGCCTTCTTCACAGCTTTATGCATTCGGTTTTCATTATAGATGTTATTTGCCAGACAAGTGTGCAGACAATGTTTAATCATATGTATTTAGCATGTTGGCTAAGTCGAACCAAATCTTGTTACGATCAACTCAAACGCTCGGTAGGAATACTTCGCACATAAATTTCATTAGCATGCGTATTATTTTGGAAGATTGCTTTCCTTCCTTGGATGTTGACCTGATCAGTATCCTGCATAAGACTCATTCTGTTATGAAATTGCATCAAATTGGACTCGTCAACTTTGATCGCTGATTCTTGATGCATGTGGAAACTGCATCCTCAGCTTGAAAAAACATTTGTCAGCATTTAATGTGTTCTGACAACTCGCCTTACATAATGCAATGGTCAATCGACAACATTAATCACGAATTGCATAATATGGGCGATTCGATTGTATCAATTACATTGATCTGCTAAAGTTCTCGTGTAGACATGCCTGTTTCGCCATCAGCTCATCTCCGATTTTCAATGCACTGATGCGTTTTTAAAATGTTTGAGAGTACAGAATCGGGTTTCCAGTTAGTCTATAAAGCCAATATTGATGCAGTTAGGGCAGTATTGTTTCCTTGCTGCTGATGCTCAATAATCGATTTTTATGCAGCTGGATACTGAATTTGAAGGTGTAGATGCTGGATCATTTTAATGTCCAGTTGGATTCCGACAGTAACTAATCCCTATTCGGCGGACGGGGGATTGTCTAACGTGTTCAACGACTTCGAAATTCATGTTTATTCACATCATTTAATGATTATGCTAATTCTTGAGAAACAAGATGTTATCGACGAAGGGTCATCAAGCTCACAACTGAAGCAAGTTTCTTTTTGTAAACGTTCTTGTACGCACATCTTGACTGATTGTTACAAGTCTTCGGCTTACTGGAGCGGAAGTGAATATAAATCACTATAGTCAATATACTTATGAACGACGTCTGCGGATAACAAGCGAGACGCAAAAATCAACTCGAAGAATAGTTTTTCCGTAACCAATAGCAAAAATGTAGGCAAGTAGTACCTCCATTTTGCTCGCCTTTGTCTTGCCTAGATGCCAGATCGACGCTGGAGGAGGTCGCAGAACCGCCAGACGTCGCGACAAAGCGCGCTTATATGTCTTTCCTTTCATGTTTCTATAAGTTGCGCGCATCGACTTTCAGTACAACAAGTGGAATATGCGCTACTACTACGATCCGCGTCATTCGATCCTCGGTCAGCTAGAACGTCTTAGTTTCCCTAAAGGCGAAAAGATACCTCATTCTTATGCGAAAATAGACTTAACATACTATCTTTGTCATACGTACAACACAGTGGGCTCGTTTATAATGGCAAAAGGTGCAAAGTGTAGCTTGAGCGTCCAGATGATATAACAAGATTTGTTGATGTAAAAATGTTAAGAACACAGTCACTGCAATTCGTTGGGATACACAGTCTCTCATTGGACTTACTAAACACTTTTTGAATTAACGAGGATATACAGTCCTATAACTATTTCACGCTTTCACGATCGCTTGTTATAAAGCCATGTGAACATGTGGTTCATAGGCACCCTGATTAAAGGAATGTTACAGCATGATCTTGTGATGAGACGGAGGCGCGATTGGTGGTCATTTTGAGTCAATCAGGTGTTCTTTGGCTTTCAAGTGCTGGCATTATCAAAAAGACATTGTATCGATTAATGAGCTATTTACTTAACTATTATAATGCATTACTGGCACATGCTGTACGACCGAATATTCACATAATCAAGTTTTTTGCTCCTGCTTCGATCTCCTTCATTTTAGATGTTACTCGATCGATTAAATTTTTCGTCGAATTTATTTGCAGCCATTTGTTAGAAGGAAGATGTGTGTTAAAGCTTTACGCGTAACCTGACAGTATTGCATATCGTTAAATCAAAAGATATGTATGCAATTGTATATCGGGGCACGATCTTGTCAGTCTATTTAAAGTACTTTATATTCATCACAATTCAATGATGCGTGCTCACGGAATTCGCGTATACGTAAGCATTAAAGAATTGCGAGTGAGAGAGATCGAAACAAAGGATGTCAGGATTAGGGGCAAACGAGTATTAATCGTTACAATGTTTTTTCATCAACCGCATTTGTCTTACGCAGCGGCGTGGCGCCACCAACCTGCGATCGCATGAAGGCACTATTGCAAAGGCTTGTCCTATCGCTCAGATCATTCAATTTTCTCGCGCGTATGGGTGAAAGCAGCACTTCGGTCATGCGGACCTGTGGGGTCGGGATGTGTCATAGCGTCTCTAATACGCCGCTCAAAAAGTTTTGGCAGCATTGTATCTACCGTTGTCAATCCTGTTGTCCTTCACTGACGCACTCATTCTATACTCGTGTGTATACTGCATTGTCGTGTCAGATTGGCTTTGCAGGTCTGCAAATGATGACCAAGACGGTAATCATTAAAGTATACGGCACTGTCATGATCTTGTTGTGCGGCACTAGCCGTCGAAGTAAGCTACGCCAGCACAGGACCACTCCTACTGCTACTTCAAGGACGAGGACACACCATGTCGCCACCTGAGTACCAGAGCCAGAGGGTGAGGCCATATTGGTATATATAATTTTCTGCGCTACTCCGAATAGCAGGAGGAAGAAGAGGGTACATGACGAAGGAAGAGAGGAATTAGGAATGAGCGAAAGAAGCTGCCGGTGACTTGATTTCAACAAGTGCAAAGTGAAGACGGCGCAACGAGAGAGAGCGTATACATAAAGCAGGAAACTTTGGATCTAGTCAAGTACGGCCAAACGTTCGTTGAGCTCGCGAACGGCGAGGAGTATGCGTCTGAGTTGACTAAGTTTAAGTATGTGGCGAGAAACTGCTTTTGAACAACTTTAAGTCGCGCAAAAACTTCGTAACGTTGGTGAAGTACGAGTCTAAAGCTATTTATTCTCTCTGGGAGAATGCTACAACGCAACCTTTTTTACGGTGCAACGCCGTCTGCGCACCATGAGCATGCTGTCATATTTACTGGAAGTGGGGCAGCCGCCCATGCCTCAGGAGCGCTGGTGGGGTACACACATAAATGATTGGATGAAGCGGCAAGAAGCAGTTGCCTTTTACTTCGGGAAAATAACATTGCAGCTTCTTTTCGGTTGGGCACTTGACTTTGTCCGCACACAATCAATTTGTGCCAAACAATTATCATTTAGGCGACTTCGAACCAGATGAACATGGCGAAGTCGAAAAAGAGCCTCAAAGTGACATCCGTTGCGAGCTGCGGAGCTTTGCGTGCTGCCGTTACTTTCTCTTATATATGTTGTCAATTATAAGGCTGAGAAGCTGGAGATTCTTTCGCTGTATCGGGCTGGAGAGCGCATGTGCCACGATAGCCCGTTAAATATGGGCAATTGCACGCATTTATTTTTTCTACCGATAAAGATTCAAGCTGAACGAGCAATCATTGCGTGTATTTGTTGCACCGACGGCATGTACTTAAATAAATCGTGCGTACGTTGTTGCTCTGCAAGCACAGCGACAGACAGACGCGAGAGCCAACTTCGGAGCGCGAACAGCGATATCAACGTACCGATAGAAACACACCAGTACTTCCGACGTTCACGTCAGAGCCTATCAACGTAATTCGAGTTGACGCGACCAACTTCAGTCAGCTGAAAATATTCTAGCCACTGTGCCGGCTTGGAGCAGTCCGCCGGAATTCGTACTTCGATGGCTGGCCCTCCACCGTAGACATTTTGATAGTAGTCCCAGCTCTCTTTGTTGATCACCCGAAAGTCCTTCTTGATGACCAGGCCAGTCTTGATCTGAAATGTGCCGTTTGTCAAGTCGTCGGAAATGAGCGGCATGTTGTCGACGCTGCGGGGATTGTAAGCCTCGTCGCCCTTGTACTTTGACACAAAGAGCAGCCAAGTGCGAATCCAGTCGGCGCTCACGACGAACCAAGTCTCGCCTGGTTTAGGCTTCGTCTGGTGGAGACGCTGCAAGTTGCGCACTTCGGTCTGCACGTCATGCACCGACACCGACGCGGCGGTGCTTCCAAACTCGTCTTCATGGGTCACGACTGTATTCACCATATTGGACGCACGCCCGTCGGTCTTGAACGTGTAGTTGGACGGCACGCCGTAGCCGTTCAAGCGGACGGTGAGCTTCCCACACGTGCGAGTACTCGACCCGCCTTCCCACTTCTCTCGCCGCACCATCTCGTCCGTCGGCTGCAAGCCAAACGTCTCCATATGCGGCGGTTGCTGCATGGACCAAAGCACGCACGTACGCACGCACGCACGCACAACAACAAGACACAACATCGTCAGCAGCAACGTCAACGTCCACGTCCGCTTCGCGTCAGTCGCGTCGTCCGTCCTCTACCTCACCTGCTTGAGCTCCATAATGTCCCTCAGCGACAACACCATCTGCCCAATGTCGCGTCGCACGAGGCCAAACCTCTCGACGTGGCGCACCGTAAACAAAACGCCCACGACGCTGTCCGTGTCGACGTCGCCAAAGTCCACGTCAAAGTTCCAGATCGGGTTCAACGAGCTCTTGACGACTTTCGACCGGAACGTCGTCGTCCGCACGTCCGGCCGGTTCACGTGGCCCCGAACGCCCCTGTCGCTCCACGCACCGCGGGAGCTCGACGCACTCGCCGACAGCGCTTTCAGCTCTGCGTGTTGACTCGCACCCCATCGGGCGCTGCACTGGAACCGACTCGACCCGTCGTCCCGCACGAGCGCGACTTCGACCATCGGATTGCTCGTAAGCCCCTTCTGCATCGGCTGCAGCTCCACCGCCGCCACGACGCGCACCGACACGGCACAGGGCGTCGCGATGGCGTCCAGCGCGGCGGAGCTGGACGCCAGCAGCGGCTGGTCGTGCCGCGGCGTGAGCTCCAGCGCACCGCCTAAGGCTTTGGGCAGAGCTCTCGCGGACATCATGACGCAGTGAGGGGCTCTGACAAGGTCGGACTTGGGCCAGCAGGAGAAGAAGTAGGGCAGCTGCCGGCCAGTGCGACGGACGAGCGACAGCGACGAGGAACTGGTCAGCTCGAATCGGCTTCTGCCTTTGGTTTGATAAAGTTGGACAGGTTGTTTCGATACTAGAGGTCGCTGTCCACAGTAAGAACATGCGCTGGTGAACATCATAGATATCGGATTTACGCAGATATCTACTTTCGGCTTAGTGGCCAGAAAGAGGACTACTGTCTGATGGATTTTCAGCGCGGCAGTGACTGTCGCTACGTCGCGTGCAGAGCACACACAATCGACGACGATCGACACAAAAGTGTCGACGACCATATTGTCGGCCGGTGAGGGTACACCCGCGAGGAGTTCAACATAGCGGCAGGTACTTTCTCGCCGTCCCCTTTGACACGACGGACAATGTACGGTTTCTTTGCACTTGGCGAAGAGCGTGACTCGGTACACGCCGCAACTTTTGCCACGGGCCACACACGCCCTAACATGCTGTTGGACCCACAAGAAGAAAGAAAGAAAGAAAGGTCACCTCGGAGCCATTCCGGTCATGGATCCATCACGTTGTTGTCAAGTGGGCCCGATAAGAAAAGGGCAGACCCAACGAGACTGCAGATCAAAAGGCACCTCTCTCTCTCTCCACTATGCTCATGGGTGCATTCATGAGAAGGAGTGCTCGATCTATCTCCATATTCCCGCGTTGATCGAAGTTCGTCGCGTGCTGCACCAAAGTTCAGACGATTGGTCGATTGGAGCGTGTGGCGAGCGCCATCTGCTTTGAGATCATTTTCTTTGAGCAGCTGTGTGTATCACACTCACGATGCAACGATGCATTCGACACAAGTAACAGTGACGACCACCATCACTTTTTCGGCATTGTAGTTCGTTAGCACCTGTTCAAGGCAAACTGGTTTCGATTGCGTGGACCTACTCCTGGTACGACGTTCTCAGCTGGATGAACTGGAAAGTTGGCAACGGTCTCCACATCCGAGAGCCGGTGCTTACGAACACCCGTCATTCTCTGCAACGTTCACGGCAACACAAGGCGACACTTATCGGTGTCTCAGTAACAACTGTGAAGATTGAAGCGCAACTTCATGAAGACCGGAAGATTGGGTGTGTTCTGTCGATAACTTCTGCAAGTGCGGAGTAGTGTCTCGATTGCCACTGCCCCCTGTCCTTTGGTAAAGGCACAGCTTGTACTCGAGCGTCATAAAGACCAGAGGTCTGCCATTGCGGGATCTTCGAATGACGAATTCGCTGACTAAGCTGTATAGTAGAGGAGCAAACTTTGGGGCACGCCTGTTGATAAGAAGAAATCAGCCCAGAGAACGAATCGAGTTCTGGATAATTACGTACCTATTCAGATGGCCGGAGTTGGCAGCTGGGGATGCGTTGTGCGTCGTGAGATGTAATGTCGACACTGTTGCGGTGGTCGTCGTGCGATGGAGCAAATTGTTGGCGTTGCTGCTGCGGTAAAGAGAAGGATGCGAGAAAAGAGAGACGACAGCTCGCTTTCTGTACAACAGCTCCAACGACTAATAATGCGACTGATCGCGTGTGTTTTTCATTGATAAGGAGGAGAAGAAATTTCGAAAACCTCCTCTGCTTCCGAGCGAGGAGGGCTTTCGTATCAACTTCTTGCGGTTTGTTTGTACGTTTTACCGATAAGAACAAGCGAGAAGGTGTCGCCTCATTCGGCTTTCTCCGTTGAATGCGCTTGGTGAGTAGTCAGACCCCCATCAGCGCTGCCTTGGCCCACAGTATATTCACTGCGACACGAGTGCACCATAAGTACTAAGGTCGACCACAACACACACACACCCACACACACACACACTGTGCCTTGAAAGGTGCACATGCCTCTTGAGAATCTATTTTTGCTGCGCACCTAGCTCTCATATGTGCAATGTCACATAGAAAAGGAGATACGGCGAAAGATGAAGGTGCAGACAGTTTCGATCAGCCAAAGTCAAGGCGTTAGCTACTGCAACTCTCGACGAGCATTTTGCTGTCGAGCTCAAAGCAAAGAAACCTCTGGCGCGAGAGCTCTATGTACGACACCTATTCAGACGGCGTCGATCCGACCTTGAGGATCCTACGACCCTCTGTTGTGCTCATAATAAGCAGCGTTGTCTCCGTTATGACTACAGCTGGTGGAGTCGCTGCTTGTTCAACTGCTGCAGGTGGGACTGTACAAATCGTGTATCTCCGTGAGTATGATTCGTATTTGATACAAAACAGCCCATCAATCCTCGTGCAGCAATGTGTCTCCGTGCGACTTAAAAACAGACACGAAAAGTGTCTGCTAAGAAGTTCGTCCTTCATCCCATGCACTTTCACATTTATACCTCTGTCCTTCGGCTTGCAACTACCTGCTCACGTTGAGCTAGAACTTCCATGTAGCTAGGAATGCTATGGTCTCCACGTGATACCTGTCGGAACAATGAGCGCTAGCTTGGCGATAAAGATGACCAGTGAATGAGGACGTGATAAAAACGCAAACGGTATTTGATTCTGATCACTGCGCTACCGCCTAGCCTCGTAGACGTCTGCGTACACGAACCGTTTCCTTGCGATTTTATTACGAGTCGGATGCTTCCATCTTGTCCAAGAAACTTTTGATGCATCTTTCCGACCTCAAAATCCTACGTGTTAGACGAAGGATGTAATGCGTAGAGGTCGTAGTTTTGTTAAAAAAAAACTTGTGAACCGTAAGACCAGGTTATGTGTCACCTTAATCAATCGATAGCCCTCAGAATCGAACGCGGCTAAGTCTCTAGAGTCCTTACCCACAAGCAGCTGAATTAGATTGCACATGTGTCAGTTTGGTGCCAAATTGCGAGGATGCCTTTTCGTTTTTTACTTAAGGAAGCACAGGAGCTCGAGCACTATATTTTTTTGATGAGATAATACCTTATACTTGTCGAATAGAAGTAGAGAGAAAACAGAAACGATCAATATATTGATTTCAGAAAAATACGGTTTAGTATTGTATCCATGGTTATCATATTATTGACAAACTGCATAAAAAAGCTAATTCTGATGTAGATTAGGTGGCGAGAAATATATCAATCATAATATTGATGGACATTACTACAATTATAGGCAGCCTATCAGCATTTCTAAAGCAAAAAAGCATTTGACATAAATTAGCGGTGTAAATTCCAGCGTGAACAGTCCAATCTCTTCATGCACATACCCAATTACCATGATACAGAAGCTCTTTTCTACAAAGCCCGATTTCTCTCTACTTCAGCATATTCTGTGTATTTTCTCGTTCATTCATTTGGAGGTCATCCCACACATCGTTCCCTATGATCCATACACAGCTCCCACTACAGCCATATTTCTCCTAATACAATGCCAACATATTGGTGTTTCGTTTGACCACCACTTACGTCCATCAGAATGTGCAATACACACAGTCTCCATCGCGTGAGATGACTACGAAGGCGTGTGGTCATAGCACAAATAAACGGGGTGGATGAGGCGGGTTTACTAGTCATATCCTAGCACAACGACCCTGTTTTATGGTCACTGTAAATATGTAGACACACCCACACTATTTCTAGTACGCCGAAATCACCACCATGATGCCACTAATTGTATCTTGAAGCAGCCCGAGCCGCTCTCGTTTAATTCGTGTGGCTGCAAGGTCATGCAGTGGAGCATCTATGGACAAACTATGCATAAGCTGAGCATTTTCGAAGGTTGGCTGCAAGCACGAGAAATTGCCGTGGTTGTACGAGGGAGAAAATTCGAATATGAAGCGTTGGGACGTTCAATTGTCGTTCCGGTGTCATTGTGCAACTTCTATTAATCACTAGAACGTATTGGATACAATCAACCATTTCGGAAAGGAGCTTTTTCCAAAGTAGCATTGGCTATGTGTACGCTACCTCGTATATGAGTGACAACGTTACGGACGGTGACTGTCGTCTGACGCGGAATGTCTAATCAAAGAGGGAGCCGTTCTGCGACAGGATTTGTTATCGGTAGGGGCGTTCCTTGACCCGTATCTCTGTATCTGTAAATCAGAATCACTTCTTCGAAACTCAGTCGCTTTCAATGCTATGCGTTAAGCATTCTTATCGATCAACAAAGCAAACAAGTGATACGAACCTTCATGTTGTGCCCCCTTATCCTATTTCCCGTATCAACGGCTCGATGGAGAGCTCTCCATCGAAGTCGTAAACGGGTATCATTTGGTAACGTCCGTTGAAGCTCGCGACCTCTACGCAGCGTAAATGTACATTCGTTAGCAGCACAAAAGAAGGTACCTTTCCCATTTGTGATACAACAAACAAGAGGATCGCGTGGACACTGTACGACGAAATATAACGCCCACTTGACACTGTCCGACCAACCCGTCGACTGGATATGGACTATTCAATCGGAACAGAAGGGCTCAAGCGCAGGAAGATCATGAGCACCGACGTCTTCGAGACGCCCAACTCCGAAGACGTGTGTCGGCCCTACGCACCCGCAAACGCTTCTGCCCGCCAATCCCGAGCCGGAGCGAGCGCCAGTGCGGAGGCGGACGGCCACTTCTACGACAAGGTGCCGTAATGCTCGAATAGGGGTCTCTATTCTCACGCAATGCTCACAATAGGGCTCACGACAATGAAATCACACAGAGGTCCATGGAGCTGGACGAGCAGGAGGTGCCGGCGGTGCAGGCGTTCGAGGTCTTTATGGGCAAAGTTTACAGTGCGTAGCGACCGCCTGGGGCGATCAGCCGCGAGGGGTGCAAACTGACTGTGTTCTTCTTGTCGTTATTGTTGTTATTGTTATTGTTGTTGTTGTTGTTGTTGTTCTTCTTCTTCTTCTTCTTCTTGTCGTTGTTGTTATTGTTGTTGTTGTTGTTGTTGTTGTTGTTGTTGTTGTTGTTGTTGTTGTTGTTGTTGTTGTTGTTGTTGTTGTTGTTGTTGTTGTTGTTGTTGTTGCTGTTGTTGTTGTTGTTGTTGTTGTTGTTGTTCTTCTTCTTCTTCTTCTTCTTCTTCTTCTTGTCGTTGTTGTGGTTGTTGTGTTGTTGTTGGTGTTGGTGTTGGATGTCTCGTGCAACTGCTAGAGCCCACTGTGTCAAAGCAGACCGAGTATGAGCTTTCCACTGGTACGAGCAGCAGCTGCAAGACGATGCTGGAGTCGCCGTTGGCCCGTTTCACGCGGCTGTCGCTGGAGCTGAAGGAGCTGGAGGCGGACCTCACGCTGCTCGCGGTCGACGCGGAGCACAAGAAGCACGAGGTGGTTCTCGACGCTGGCCAAGAGGCTGAGCTGAGCGAGGTGATGCAGGGACTCACGACGCTGCAGCTCAATCTGTCGGCATTGGGAAAGAATGCTGCTTTTCAGCCTTTTCTACGCGCAAACACAGCTGGCGCCAGTGCTGAGGCGGCGTTGAGTCTACAGAAAGATCTGACCGCCAAGTTTTTCAAGAGAATTGACACACTTAAAAAGCAGCAGCAGGCGCAGACGGCTGAACCTGCTACTTCGGACGATGCGGCCATTGTGTACGAAATCTTCAGTAACGCTGAGCTGAACGCAGCCGAGAAAGATGAAAAGACTCGGGTGGCTGTGCTTGAAGCACGGATCTCGATGTTGGAGAAAGCTATTGGGAGTTCTCAGGAGCAGGAAATGCGGCCACATGGCCTGGACTCACTCAGCGGCGTGTCAAACGTAGACCTGACGTCAGCAGTGGCACAACTCGAGCAACGTGTTGCTTTCATGAGCGAGAAAAATCTCGATGCTGTAAAGACGCGCACGACCGCCCTCGTGCACGAGTTCACACTGCTAAGCAAACTCAAGCAGTCGCCTAGTGTGCAGGGTGCGCTGAACTCGCAGACTGACAGCGAGCAAATTCGAAAATTGTACGACCAGCTTAGCAGCCTCGACACGATTGCAGCCTCGGTGCCAAGTGTCGTAGACCGGCTTGTTGCGCTCAAGTCCGTACATGATGAGATGCTGACCGTGGCAGCTCGTGTGGATAAGATGGAGAAAACCCAAGCCTCGCTGGACGAGCTGCTGGACTCGGATGCTGCCTTACTTGCTAATGTACGCTTTTTACTGACGCCGTATCATACTGGATACGCTTGATAGAGGTGCATGTAGGAGTGCTGACATGGATCGTTTCGTTTCTTCTATTTGTTGTTAGATGGAGACCAGCTTGGCTGAAAATGTGCAGATTTTCCAGTCCAACATCAAGCATCTAGACGACCGCATGGCCAATTTGCTCTCCTCTTCAGGTGGTTGCTAAGTATTTTCGCCACTATGACCGATGGCATGGATAGAGGTTGAGCTGGTTTGGCATGCAGTCGCGGAGTTGCCTTGGGCCGACTGCCTGAGCAATTTGTAAGGTGGGAATAGGTGAAGTTGCGAAGAGAAAAGTGTCTGTTAGATCCATATCGAGTTTATAAACATTCCGTGTCTGCGCTTAATGGCCTATGCTACAAGTCCTAGGAGTACTTCGTGTTTACTTCGTTGCTTGGAAAGGCAGCGCAATTGGTCATTGGTGTCAGTCTTGCGCTATGGCGCGTACGGATCGAGCAATAAGAAGTGAGATTGTGCTCACGGAAAAAATAACACCTCAAATTGTACCAGCCATTGGTGCTACTAAGTCAGATAACAGTTGACGAACTTGTAAAACAGGGGATGCGGCTCGAATGACGGGGTGAGCTCGGCATTGGAACGGCCCTGAATGACTGCCATTCACTGGTGCAAGCTCCCGGACTTGCAGCAACGTTACTGATGCCGATCCTTGCAAGATTGTACAATGACATTAAACTCAGGTGTTGCACTTGCTGCAGATCTGGACTAAATAATTTATTTAAATGGCTTTCCATGAGGAGTATAGTATTAACACCCAAGGTCTCCTGAGACATTATTTTTACAGTTTATGTGGAACCGACGAGCGGGCGCACTGTCCCTCGGGGGGATGAAATATACACCCTGTTCTACATTGTTTGAGCACCTGGACGCACATGCTATTCGCACGCAATGATGATTATTTACTATCGTACGGCGAAGAACGAAGGTTAAGAACTTGCAGGAAATCCTTATTTCGGGAGACCATTTGAAGGCCAAAATGTCGCGCAGTACGACAAAAACTTTATTTACTTTCATCTTAGTGCGATCAAGCTGATCTGTAGCACATTCGTCGACTAACATGTAAGCGCAATGAATGGGAGATTCCGGCATGATGGTGTCATGCAAAATACCAGGATCACGTACACGAGAAAGCACCAAGTGTCACATATGATTGTCGTAAAAGGTGAACGGCTTTTTGCGGTCGCAAATAAGCTTATGCTTGTAGACTTAACGAGCACACACTGATTCGTGTTTAGGCTGGCCAACAAGCTGTTGTGTGGACACCAAGACAACGAACAACAATTGCTATAGCGACGGCCAACATTGAACATGTGACGTCATGTGGGTCAATGATGAGACACTTCCAGTGCAAAGCATGTTGCAAGAGTTGTTAATGCATAAGTCGCGCAGATGTTGCATCCTTATTGATAGCTAGGCTGCATGAGTAATGGCGGCGAGCCTCACGTAAAGTCGACGAGCACAACACATCTGATAGCGATAACAAAGACGTGCGCACGAATGTCGAAGAGGAGTCATTGCATCTAGGAAGTTGTCAGCGGATGAATTTTCTGCAGACGCGAACAACAATTGCATTGGACAAGGAAAGTGATGTAGTGACTGTTGCAGAAGTTCGTACTTTACGCCTTTGATCACGGTGCAGAGTGAAACGTGTTGCCCATGATCAGTCGTTTGTTGGGAAAGGAGTTGAGGGCTTTAGCGATAACCTTGTCGTTTGGAAAGTAATGGAATTTTCTGACCTGGTATAAGTTGCTATCAGTGATTTGAAGGTGTTGTGGAGACAGCTTGGTAGTTTGCATTATAGTGTATAATCCATTTTGCATGAGGTGCTGAGGTTGCAGGACGCGTCGTTAACGCAATACATGGGCCGTTCACTTCTAAGTCGCGCTGGCACGAGCAGACTGCTTAGATTAGTCACAATAGTGATATTTTGGTACATTTTAGCTCTCGTCTGGATCGACAGACCCTTCCAGATCAGTCCCTTTGTCTAAGTACAATGACTACATAGAAAGTACAAGAAGGTAAATAGATCGCAACTGCAACAATAGAATGATCAAGAATCGATTCAGCGATACATAAACCTGTAAAAGAACGTTTAAACGACGTTTTCTGTGATAAAACAAAAGTCGAAGTATCGTTTTCATGCTGATCGCACTGCTTTCTTTTTTGCATCAGTTTACATCAATGCCATTATGTAACGCCAGCATCATTCAAAAAGAATGGTATCGCTGTGGGTGCTTCAGCTGTCAGTTTCTTTGTCATATACGTAAATTCGTGCACAGCATTATTCGATCGTATCCGCTAGAGATTCTTGAATTGAGTCGTTTACTAACGGCGTTCAAGTTACGCTTATGATGCGGCGGACAAGTTGCGTCCCGATATCATGCGCCAACTACCTGATCGAAGCGACACCGCCCTTCGTCGCTCAGATCAGGTGTGCTACTGTCGTCAATGGTAGTCGCTCGTTGGCCCACGTTTGCCCGGAAGATAGTTGTAGAATCGACTGATAGACGAATCCGAGCTGCGACAGCACACAGCCCCCTTTCAGGTTGCTGGCTACCCGGAAATAAAAGCAGCCCAGTCGCTCGTTGCGTGGAGAATGTTTACCAGGCACTTGGACGTAGGACGCGCTCGCGTCGATATTGTTCTTGATTCCACTTGGCCTTGTTGAAAGTATATTTTGGTTGCTGTAACTGAAGAGCAGTAGGCCATTGATTGACTAACAGGATGATATAATACTGTACTGGCAGAAGCCCTGGCTGAAGCTTGCTTCACGATATTGTATCAACTAGTGCACAATTGCTTGCTGTGTAAGGCAGAACAAGAAGTGATGCAACATCGCTGGACACGGGTTTCAAAGTGGCCATTTACGTGAACTTGTTACAAAGAAGGAGATGGAGATGCGCCTTGCTTATGACAACGACACAGATTGGTTCGTGGCCATACCCAAAGGTACCAACAAACCACATCACGTGGCAAGGGACAGCAAACGATCGACGTCGTGGACAACAATCGTCTCCCACCCGATACAAAGCCGCAGGTGAACATCCTCTCGCGATGTTGCGATCCTACGGCGACTTATGAGACCATTGCGACATCCTACGACGCACGTTCAATCCGCGTGACTGAGGTATCTGCAATCCTCTCGACAGAACCCGCCGCAGTGGCGCCACCGATACCAACAATCTGCTGAGCATCGGAAACACGGCTGCTGTGCTGCTGACGCGGATCATCCTGCGCCCCCACGTACACCGCTCGTGCTGTGCCGCTGTCTTGCGGTGACCCTTGAGACGATAGCAGCCGTGTCTGGTTACGGCCTTCTTCAATTTGCACCGCTGGGTTTTCCATTTCGGCCGATGCAATGCCCTGCGGCTGCTGAGAGTAACAAGCGCGCTGCTTGCTCTCGCGCTCGATCAAAGCGCTTTGCATTTTCGACCAGCCTGAAAGTCGTAATCGATTCGATGGGGACGCGATGGCGTCAACGTTGTTGTACGGCCCTTCTGGCCGTGGCGGTGGAGGCTGCGCTTGAGTCCCGCGTCGACAGAGCCCGCGTCGGTACATAAACACAGCCAACAGCATCACCTGCAGCACGAGAAAGAAGACCAACATGGTGCTGTAACTAGTGACGTCGGTCGGCGCCACCTGTTTGCCGTTGTTCGACGCACTTCCCCCATCGTCGCACGCCGCCGGCATATTGGCCGCCCAGTTGTCCGACTCACAGGCCATGACACAGACACACCCGTCAAGTCCTCGACAAAAGTGCCGCATCACTTCCGTCGACACGTTGCTGCTCGCGTCGCGCCAGGTGAACGACTGGCCCGTCCAGCTCCCGCTCTGCACGAGGCCACGGCACCGCACACACGCGTCGTCCGTCGGTGCACAGTACGTGGCGTTCACGGACGGGAAGTAGTTGTACCAGCCCGTGAGCCGCAGGTCTTCGCCCGTGACGTTCCGGCGAAAGTCGAGACTCGTCTCGTACCGCGTCATGTCTTCGCAAAAGCCCGAGGGCGCCAGCAGACAGCCGCCACTCGCACCGGCGACGTCGGCATTCAGACACTCGTGGCACGTGCGCGGCTGGCGACAGGACGATCCGCTTGCGGGCGGCGCGTGGTACGAACACGTGTCCCTGTGGTCGAAACGGCCACCGCGAGAGGGTCCCGAGGTACCGTCAGGAGACAGCAGCGAAGAGGAGGAATTGCTGCGCGGCGGCACGTCGTTGGACTGTGCACGATCGCTACTGCGGCTACCACTGCTACTACTACTACTACTGCTGTTGCTGTTGCTATGGCTACTGCTGCTGCTGCTGGTGCTGTGGTGGACGTGTGTGTGGTTACTGCCGCTCGGGTCAGCGGTACTGCTGTCGGTGCTCGCGCCGCTGCGAGTGCTCGACGACATTCGCCTGGCGCATAAATATCGCAAGCGGAAGTGACGACCAAGTGCCGATTCGCTTTGGTGCACGCACTGCGCTGAATAGCGTGCAGTGATTGGTCCACCGCGGACCAACAGCCAAACATGCGGACACGAATGGGTTCACGGTAGAACGGGCAGTTGATTGACTTTTTCTGTCGTCTTTGTTTTTCCTTGTGGAAAGTTGCGATTTCGAATGTAAACACTCGATCGTTCGAGATGGGTCAAATCGCTCGTGATGACTTCGCTCACGTCGGCTTTGTGCTGGAAACGCACTGGTACGACGACAGCACCGAAAAGAGCCCACCGCTCTTGCGCTTCTTCTCACGCACCGCCGAGTTGTTGGAATCCAGAGCACGACGACGCTTCGACATTGTCGTGGCGCTACTCCGGCCTTTGCTATCGCTGGTCTCAAGACGCTCAGTAACTTTTGTTTCGCCGTGATCCGGTCCTTCACCCACGTCGTCGGCCTTTTTGCCGGAGCTAAATGAAGTGAAGATGAAGCTCTTGGAAGGCGTTGCACCGTTGCCCTACAGAACACCAGCGTAGTATGATACATGAGCGAGCTTCCACAACCTGCCAAGAGCGGACCAAAGTGAGGTAATAGGCACGTACCGAATTGGCGCTGAATATCTTGCACTGGTCAATTACACGGCTAAAGGATGACGACGGTCGGGACGCCGATGTGATACCGCCGTACGAAGTTCCCCGATCGAGCTTCCGATCGGATGCGTGTGGCCGAAACTCGTTCTGGTTGCTGCCACTTACGGCTTTTTGGCTGCCATGTCTGGAAGTGACGTTCGTGCGGTTCAGCAAGTCCATCAGCTCTTGCGAGTCTTCGTCCTCCTCGAGCAAAAGGTTTGGCATTGCAGTGTTGCTTGTTGCAGTGGGGTCTACTCCGTTGTTCTGCAGCGCAAGCTGGCGCTGCATGTCCTTCATGCGCTGCATGCGGCGGTTGATCCGAGCCCGCTCCGAAAAGAGTTTCATCTGCTGTCGCTCGCGCTCTTCGTCGGATTCAATACCATCGCCGTCCGATGCGCTTTCTTTCTTGGCGTCCTCTTCTTCCTCGTCACTGCCAGATTCAGACGATGTCACGTAAATCTTGGGCTGGTTCAAAAAACGCTCGCGCAGCATACGCTCCATGTCAGCCTCTTCATCAATCTCTTCTTCCTCTTCTTCGCCGCTGCCATGAGCCTGCGTCTTCTTTTTCGTTTTGTCATCTTCATCCTCACTCAATTCTTCGTCCGACCCCAGCAGACCCAGACGGGCTGCTTCGAATCTGCTCCCATCGGCGGCTACGAGCTCATCCAGATTGAAACGGCCCCGGGCCCCCGATCCGGAGGGTAGACCCGAAAACGCGCGGCGGTTGCGGCCAAAACCCTCTTTGACGTTGCGCATAACTTCCTTGACTTGTTGACGATCCAGTTCTTCACGTTCGCGACGAAACATCTCCTCCAAGTCTTGCTCCTGCGCTTTCTCGTCATCCGAAAGGTTATCGACAATGTGGTCGAGGTCGTCCTCACGTAGCACAAGCGCATGGCGCTCTTCTTCGGCCTCTTTGGATTCCTGGGTTTTGCTTTGTGGCACACCAAAACCAAAGTCACCTAGACCGCCAATCCTCAGGACATCTTCTTCGTCGTCTTCCTCGGCTTCTGACTCGACAAATGTATTCCCGCGGCTTGACACCAGCCGCTTGCGCTTGCGATTCTGAAGTGCCTCTGCACGCAGCAGGCTTCGATACCCAGCGGCCTTGTCCGCTGGTGTCGTTGCTTTTGCAGTCACCATGTTCTCGCTGCCATGCTTCGCCGTTGCTTTCTCTACATCGAGTGCATCACTCGTGGACTTCGACGTGGACACAGTATCTTCAATGTCATCACACGCATCGTCTTTCTGGTCGTCCCACTCGCTATCCGCCTCATTACCGTCTTCCTCTCCACTATTTTCAAGACTCAAGACTCTGTTTCGTCGCCTCAGTACATTTTCACCCGCACCCTCTTCCTCCTCCTTCTCCTCGTCGCTCTCCTTCGCGCCACTTTCTGTTGTCCTTGTCGCAAGACTAAGCTCCGTCTCCGACGCACTCTCGTCTACGTCCGCTCGGCCACTGCTTCTCTTCTTCTTCCCTCCTTCCAACATCTGCGTGTCCTCTCCGTTATCGACGGTATCAGCCACTGTACCAGCCGACTCGATCTTCTCTTCTTCTTCCTCTCGTCTCTCCTCAACTGCATCCTGCCGAATCTTCTTCTCGTCCAACATATTCAAATGCTTGACATGCTCCTCGTGGCTCGTGTACCCAAACACTTTGGCCATGTGAAGTGCGCCCTGTTGAAGCGCCTGTGTCTTCAGCTGTCGCACCATCTGTTGCTTCTTCCTGGAGGCCACAGTTGCAGATACGGCGACGGGCAGCTTCAGGAACAGGGGCAGCTTCGACGTCGTCGGCTCACGCGCAGACTCCGATACCAGCGGCTCTCCAGTCGACGGCGCTGCTGACAGCCCAAAGCGCCGCGTGTGGAGTTGCTGCTGCTGCAATCGGTTGGCCGCTTTCTTCCTGCGCAGCTTCGCCAGGAGCGCGTGCGTAGCTTCCTCGTACTCGGACACGAGCGGCTTTTCGCTCTCCAGCGCCTCGCGCTCGACTGGTGCGACGTGGGTGAGCTGCGTGGTCACGCCCTGCAGCAGCAGTTGCGTCTCGAGCGCCAAGTCGTCGCCGCTCATTGGCGCCAACTGAGGAGTGGCGGGAAGACTGACGACGGCATGCGGGTGAGCCGTCTGGGGCTTTTTCGTGTGCACCACACAAACATTGAGCTCACGGAACGGGTCCATGATAGGACTACCCAATAGGAGGTAAATGAAGATACGATGGAGGATTGGGGTCTAGTGCTCGCCCTTTACTGTAAGTAATTCAGTTCAGGGAACCGAACATAGGGCCGAAAAGTTACATGCCGGTGGTTGAGGCCCGTGACGAGAGGATCGTGTATTCTAAAGTATGTACTAACGAAAGTGCTGTCGTAGTGTCGTATGGTAAAGTAACGCGTTGACCTTGCTGATGTTTGATGACGAAAGAAAAGAGAGTCGGTGGCTGGTGTAACGGAGTGAGCCCGCTTCATTTCATTGACATTTGCAACTGTCAATGCGAATACATCCTTTGCGGATACTATTCATGAACAATACTTTGAACGCATCGATCACTAGCTGCATCTAATTGGATGGTACAGGTCATTGTATCAACCAACAAAGCGTATAATCAACGATGGATGCGCGCAATAGGTGAATGAGCAATCAGTTGCAGTTCATGTTTTGGACTTGATGCAATTACTGTACGGTAAAAAAGCTTGAATAACAATGATGAAATGGAGATAAATAGAGTTGTCTTTGTACCTCAGGCCAACGCGGTCATTAGTCTGCTTGCGTTCTCTGTACCTCGTTTGCGCGAAGCACCAAAGGGCCTGGCACACAATTGTCGATTTTGTTCATCTAATGATCCGTGCAGTATAAGCGCGTGGATCTCGTTTCAGCAGTCTCAACTGTACAACAACAACATTAACCATGTACAGCCGACAACATGATTCGATTGATGAGGAGAAAGATGGAGAACTTCCGTTGCTGTGGGGTGTCGAGGGTGTTTATCAACTTCGTACATCGTCTTTTGTAAGCTCTACGGGTAACGCAAGCTTTGTGTATGATCAATGGGGCACCAAATGATCAAAAATTTGGCACTGTAAGCAACCTACACTGATGTCATGTCTAGACGGGCGTTCCGACACCTCGCGTAAAAGATTATGTGCAGAGAAAGCGCAATCAACTGAAGTAGATATACGATGGATTGAATCACGCTTGTACTGACAGCACCTAGTCACCTTGTGTGTAGATGGGTGATTCGAGACCTCAAGCACGCGGTAAACATTCAGAGCAAGTGCAGGCGACTAAACGAGACACTTGGACTTGTCTAAGTGAGATAAATTATTACTTGTATCGAGTCTGGATAGGTAGCTTTCGAAAAACTTGACTCAAGCGTTACCAAAGCATGAACATTACACCTCATTATGGACTACCGGGTAGTGCACGCGTCTTGCACTACACGGTGCCTTCGAGGACGATAACGTGGCCCAATTTTCCCATGAGCAATGTGTCCTTACCTCCTGCCCAATGCTACCTTCGAAGATAACATGCCTCAATTTCGCCTACAAAAATCGACCATATTGTATCATTTCTGTCTATATTGACTTTATTCACCAAATCATTGTCGCTTCATGTCCTGTGCCACCACTTTCCATCAGCCCACCTTATCCGAAAGTTACAGCTGAGAATGTGATGAAGTGATTAATGACCTTTGTTATAGTCTCTTGAGCAATAGTACCACTAGTCAGTCAAGTCTGTTCGTTCCAAAATGACATTACGCCGGTAAAAATGAATATTGTACGGTGTACAACACAAAGATGAACACTGCGCATCTGCGGGTGAGTGTAGGCGATGCTATATTAGGTTGTGCGTTATGCATATGCAGTGAAGGATTGAACTATTAGCATAGGGTTGGATGTGCAAGTGTGTGTACCGATTGTGTACGCCACTTGCAGGAGTGTATTGTGTTCTGCATGTAAGTACGTTTGTAGCTTAACTGGTTTGGTGTGGCAGCATCATACGAGAGGTCGCCGGTTCCGAGAGCCGGTACGAGTAAAACAATAAGTTAAGCCTTCGGGTTCTGGTGTACATGGTATAGTAGCCCTACCTGCCAGTAGTGACGTCCCCTACTCTTGCAGATATGACACCATCAAAGAGATAAGAAGGGCGTCTCTACTCTAATTGTTGGCCAAATAGAATGAGCGTCCAGAAGTATAGAAGCGCACTCACAGTAAGAAAATAATGCAAATATGAATTAAATACTATTCGGGTAACTGCTTTGCTATACAAAATCTTGGATTCGCACGATTGCTCACAGTAATTGTTTTTTTATCTCCTGCACTCACATAGCTCCATGCTGCTGCGGTTTTGCTTCAGCCTATAAAAGTCCAACGGTTCTAGTCTGCGTGGTGGCCGTACAAGTGATATTATATGTTCCACCTTGACGCTATTCAATTGATTTGATACAGATATATACACCAGACTATACATCCGGCTATTAGTCGCTTGCGAATTAATTCGCTTGATTGGGACGATGGAAGCAGTTTTTGTGAGAGAATGATGAAAGTATGGTTAATGACTTCTATACTAAAACGCGCGCCAGACGCGTTTCTGCCCCCTCGTCAGTGGCTTTATCAATCTAGAAGTGAGATCTTGTTCTATCATGCGCTTAACGACTAAGAACCTTCTAGAACTTAGTGTAAACACACAAATCACCCACTATAACTACCAAACCTGGCAGCTGAAGCGTCTACCCGGAAGGGAGTGACTGTTATGACAGCTCCACTTCTAACAGTTTGTGTTCCGTCTATATATAGTGACACAATAAGTAAAGAGAAGCACACATTTATGCGACTTCATGTCTTCTTCATCTCCGTATAATGTGTGCGTTTGAACATTGGTGCTGCCTACTCTTCCACCAAATTCTCTTTCCGGACTGCAGTTGGTTCAAACCACAATATTTTTTTAACTGATCAGCATATACAAGCATATTTCATAGAAAAAAGTCGAGCTTCAGGATGTAGCCATTCACCAAGTACTTCGTGTATGGTGGTGACTTGTTGACAATTTGAATGTATGTGGAGGTGCATTCCTGTCGGGATCCGTTTGTGCTTTCGGTATCCAAGAAAAACATTCGTGTGTAAAGATTAGTATCGCACCGACTGCATCAATCACCGGATTTTTCAACAAATATTCGAGATCACGGCATAAGGTTCATTTTTGTCTATAAAATCGCATCATTGATATGTACGAATTTGTTGTATTTCAAGTAATACTAGACTTTGCAGGTCAGCTACGCCACTTTGCCACGTTCGGTATACAATGGCAAGGTGCATAATGTCCATGTCCACGATCATTCGATGGACGACCTGACCACCGACAAATCATCGAAGTGGTATAGTATCATTCCTCTACACATGATCTATGTATTTGTGAGTCCTTTCATATTTTGTATAATGTTTATTTATCACACATGTTTACTTCTGCCTTATAACGCTTGACATAGATGGACATGAGAATTCAAACTATATAGACTTTGACTTCATATCTAAAGTATGGTTTGTGTATCGAATATATGATGCCACATAACGCTTTAATTTGACTTTTTTTAAAGGAATCGAATGTGTTTTTCGATCAGATCAGTTGTGTTTTCACATCTCTCTCTTAATGTCTTCCTTTGACTTTCGTGTAAGTACAGAGTCAAACTAGCGAGCATTCTAAATTATAAATTGATAATTTTTTGGAACACATAGCCTGATTGGTCGGAAGCTTAATCTGCGAGTATTATTAAAATTATAATCTATAGGGGCTTGATCACCAACAATGTTTTTGTTTCAAACATCGTAATCAAAGAAGCACGTAACAGAGGACTTTATATGCGTTGAAGATCTCGAAAGGTCAATCGCTTTATTATTCATTAATGTCGTGCTAAAGCGACGAGACACTTGATTATGCATTCGATTGCATATTGCGATCTTGGATGTTGTAATATTATAGGAAAATCTACTAGTATCTACTATCGCTTATCTACCTCACGCTATCTGATGTTATAGACATTGCATATTGCGTTAGTATTGTATTGTCTACGCACTCGATCTTATGAATTCGAGTTGCAGCCTAAATGCTACCATCCTGTGCAAGGATCACTATCACTGTACAAGCCAGAGTTATTTCTTGTAACGTCACCACAATAAACATATATAGAGAAGGTTTGAGATATATTCGGGAACGCGTACGACCCAAAATATCCTGTTTTGTTATCCGCTCTCCAGCAATGTGTTTCGTACCGCTCTTTCGCGGGCATCGGGCCACGTAACTCCCGGTATCGGTGCCAGTGCTTATCTACTCGGCCACCGGGGTCAATAAACTCACCGAACTAGAGTATTGAAGGATTTTGGTATAGTCCAACGTTTAAATGCTTGTCCGGTTTTATGCGTTGATACGCACAAATAGTTGTTGTCTCTCATTCTCACCTCTTTAATTTTCATATTTACTCGATTATACAGATTCTACTCAGTCAATATCTAAATTTATATATTTAACGTCGTCGCAATGGGCGGCAGCCAATCATTTGGTGGATTTACTCGCTTTCTAGACGCATTCTCCCGTGGAGTATGACTCATACGGAGTATTATCCGATCGCAATCGCACAAAACCTAAAAAGCTCAGAACTACAAAATCTTACCCTTTGTATGAAAAGTGTCGACATGTTTGCTAGTTAACTACCATGTGTACTTTATAAAACTTACCATGAGGGATAAGAAACGTTGATATAGTCTTGCGAGTATAGTTTATAATATATATACATCACCGACATGGGCATTATCTAGTAGAAAATCAGTATGGCACTTGGTAAAACCGATCATCACTCGCAAATTATACCTTCTCGTTCGTAAAACCCAGCTATTTGATCGTCGAGGTCCGACCCTGCTGATTCGTAAGCTATCCCCCAAATCAGTTCATTATAAGTTGCCAATATTTCTTTGATCACTACAGCATATTGATCCATCTCATATCCAAGAACACGACGAAAGTATTGTACGATAGTGATCCCAATCTTAAAATAAATGCATACACCGATATAGAATCAAACCCAT